CAAACGCCATGATACAATGTGAACGACAGTTACAAAGTGTGGTTTAAGTTCAGGAAGAATGGTAAATGTGACAACGGATTACAGACACTACACCCTGGCCTAAACGCTCGGTTATTCTCTCCATCCAGATGTGCTTTTTAGCGTAGCTGGAAAGCTGTGGCGGCACTCTCAGCAGATGTCTTGCCCCGGGACGCAGTCCGAACCTCAATCACTATGTACTTACACCTCTGACTCAGCCGGTTTTGTGGATATATACGAATAAAAAGTGGAGAAATACTATCTGAGTAGATTCAGTGTTGTCAGCAGAACAAACAAATGACTACAAGGAACTGAGTAATGTCATTTTACCTTGCATTATGTGCGTCCCTCGCAAATACTGATCGGTGGATAGGAAGAATAAAACAGCAACATTTAATAGGATGCGGCAGGTTGGTGACTGATTAACACTATCACCCATTTCCGCGATTAAATCTCATCAGGAAGCATGCAGATCGGCCTGTTACGTCCTCTTCTCTTCCCCTGTGCGTACCAACCCGGCAGATGATACCAGGATACCGATCAGCTGATCGTAGTTATTACTTTCTAGGTAATGTTTCAGAATACAAGCAGGTTTTTAACTTCACCGATGAAGTGAGCGAAATAAGTATTTGGCATGGGTCCATCGACATTATGGACGTAGTCCTGGCTGCGGAAATGTTTGGAATCAGTCGCTGAGTAAAATACACTTCTCTTCACTGATATGGTGGTGTCTTAGCATTTCGTGAATACATTTTCGTAAATGGAAGCAACTTCTGTAAATCGGATCCATCCACCGGTTCCATACCTACGGGTTAAAATGTACATGCAGTCGATCCAACGCCATGATCTGGTGAACCAGCCAAGACGTTTTATCACGTCTAGACGTAACACACTACTCATAAGGTTGCTAAAAATTCTACGGCAGCCCACGACCCGTTTTTCCCCTCTTGGGGCTCATCGGATAGGCGCAGTCTCCGAGTTTTTCGTCAACCTACTAATTGAGACCAAATTGCACGAAATTGACAAGCAAAACTCACTCGCGTACTAATTTGGTTTTGCGAGAGACTCACCAGGATCCCAGCTGCATCTCTCGTTTGTGCTATTTCCAGGCACTGAATATAGCTCATCGGATAGGCGCAGTCTCCGAGTTTTTCGTCAACCTACTAATTGAGACCAAATTGCACGAAATTGACAAGCTACACTCACTCGCGTACTAATTTGGTTTTGCGAGAGACTCACCAGGATCCCAGCTGCATCTCTCGTTTGTGCTATTTCCAGGCAACTGAATATACGTGGTATTTGCAGTATGTATGTGGAAGTATGCAGTAGTATGGTAGTATGTACATTATATGTTTATGTATATATAGTATGTATAGTAGCATGTATAGTGGTATGTAGTATATGTATATATGCATGTATCGCGATAACTCGAATATCGTAGCCACTGGAACATTAGGTGGCCTGGTGCAGCACATTCAGTTGCTTAAAAACGAGGAATTCAGCTGGATTCCAGGTGGGTCTCTCGCAAAACCAGATTTGTTTGCAAATGTGTGTATTTCCCTGTTTTCTCATGCCCTTATCAAAAAGTAGGATTACTGGTTATCAGTCCACATGGTGTCAGGCGTAGCACTGATATGCTGCTTAGCTTAAGCATCACAACCACCAAAGAGCTCTCCCTAACTGCTTCACATGCAGGCAACGAACGACGTCACGCCGAACTGTCCTCATGAACGCTCAAAGTACACCGACCCTGTGTTTTACCACTGCACTGGATGCAGGCCCCGTAACGAACACTCTCGCCTGGAGCACGGGCGCATAGCTTGGTGGTGAGACATGCATTGCGAGTACACCGCACAGATCAGCTGGTTAGCCAATCCATGGTCAAATAAAAGTGACAGCCCACTTGGGTGTCACGTAATTACTGGCGTTCCATGAGCCCGAGTTAGTGGGCGGTAGTGGTCCCAGTCACGAAGTACGTACCAGAGTAGGCAGGCAGTGCATCATGCTTTCGGCTGTGCCAACGACAGCTCCGTCAACTCACTCTTGTTTCGCCCATCCGCCCCGTGCACTGATTGTCTAACCAGGCCAGGACGCCCGTTGGCATTGGGTACGTTACCAATAAGGTCATGAAAATCCAATCAGCGCATTGCTCGTGCTGTGGAGCGTGTGACACACACACTAGTTTCGCACCAGCTACCCTCGTGTCTGTCTGGTGTTTCACCGATTGCGCGATCGGGCTGACAACCCGCAGTGCAATCACTAGTGGGTGCAACTCAATCACGCAGTCGCCATATCTCATGTCCGCTACTTCTGCGTAGTGTTGCAAGCTCCCAGGCCTCAGTGGAGGTTGGTAGGATGGATGCATTATCCGTAACATCGGTAAGTGGTGGTCTGATTGAATTTCTCATTTTTTCACACGTAACTAGCCATACTCGAACAGACCGAAGTGCGTTGATTACTGCACGCCACAAGTCCATGTGGGTAGTAGCTATCGTAAACACCTTATTTGAGGTAAACACCAACATTGTAGTGTCCTGGTCACGTCGTATGCGTTGCACTGTGTAATAAGTCAATGAATGAACGTTTTGATTCTAAGGCTCACAGCCATTAACGAATAGGAAGAGAGACGCAGACGTTCTCTGTCGAGCGGAATTCAAAAACAGCGAAACATCTTTCACAGATCTGTCTTATTTACTAACCAAAACGGCACAATGCACCAATCGTATAAATTGTCATGGATGAAATCCTCCAGTCGTCTGTGCGTCACTACAGAAGAATAACGAGGTAGAAGAATTCCAAGCTTCTGACAGGAAGGTTCGTGACAGATATCTGCTCCCAACTTTCCGTTTACTCCCGTACGCAGCAATGCCACACTATAGAAATGTCCCAGGGTGAGGGAGGTTTAGACTCTGGAGGCCGAAGGGAAGATTCACACTGAACCGTGCCTAGCTTTCAACGCTGTTCTGGCCTCTCTAAGAGAGTAGACTTCTTTACTCATGTAGGGGGGTTTCTGGATGGACAACAAACGATAGTGAGCACGGAAGCTTAAAAAGTTCACCAGCACATCAGTTTTCACAGTTGTGTTGACAAACCTTGCGGTGAAAAGTAACGAAAGAACAGAGTATTCACAGCCTAAGTTATGGGGAAGATGAGCCATACCAAATCTGCACATAATTGTCAAGTATTTCGCACTTTCGTACGTAGTTTTGGACTGGTGATTGGTCGTACAGTTTACTTTGATCATGCACTAAACTTCTGCTGCAACCTTGTTACACCAAGCAACATTTAATTTAATATTATGGTCTTGGGGATGAACTCAGTTTGGTCTGACATGTTTTTCAGTCCTAACCCTGGTCACTACTTTCACGTTTCCAGTGCAGGTCAAGATGGCGTAGAGCACAATAAAGCCACCCATATTGCCTATATGTATTTGTTAATCCTCTGTTGAGTGCCACGAACAAGGCCT